AAACTGATTACTTATAGGCCTAGATCACACAAGTTTTTAAGAGATATTTTACATTTTGTGGTATTTTAAGCCTTTATATATTTCAGTCACATATTTAATATATAGTAACCATTACTCCTATTATGCAATTTCTCCGTGCAAAGCCTAACTGGGTGGCGAAAGCATGAAAAATCTCGCCTGGCTCACCATGCTGCTGCAGGACCATGTGATCAAGTAAAGTATCTTATAGAAACTATTCATGTTCATTTATTTTGAGGTAGAGACTCACCACTGCACATACATTATTGTCGAACCCTAAAGTTATATATGTGATGTTTATGTCAAAATCAATTCATGTCTATCACATTTATAATCTGATATCATAAGACACTTTCATCCTTCCATGACTTATTTCAGAAGGTATTGTCAAAATACAATAGTTCATTTTTGCTCCAGTAGGGGATAAATATATACAAGTAAAAATTGCAGACGCCACGAGTGACTGCCCAGGATTCACGGACCCTGCCATAGCAGAGTTTTTCTTCGCAAAAGTTTATATTCACTTGGGTAATTCTACATTCCTATACGAGTGGGAAAATTGGTATAACTCATTTTCGACAAAGCCAACAGCTTCCCCCAGAACCAACTACCCCCAACAAACTTAGGGAAGGTCCCCTTAAGCATATTCCCTTCACAAAATCATAAAGAAACAGAAAAAAAAACATAATAATACAGGAAAGAATCTGTGTAGGCATAGAATAACATCAAAAGAGAAAATACATTATGACAAATGACTGTTTGCTCCCCTTCTCCGTCTGGCTTGCCCTCCCATGGGCCACAAATTTTTACTTGTTTAAGGATATTACACCTATACAGACCTGGTAATAGCTTAAAAATGCCCATAGAATAACTATTCTATCTAAATTTTTGTTTGCTTCGCTTGCCAACCCACCTTTGCCCTTCCCAAGGAAAAGTTGAAATGATGCCTCTGGGCTGGAATAATAGGGACTTGGTCTCAGTGGAGTTCTTGTCATCATAGTTTCACTCATATCAGTTGCAATGGAAAACAACTTAGCACAAATGTTATACTGTGAATAATTTAAACACGAAATGATAATTGCATGGTTAGATGGCTGTGAAACTATAAAGTTACCGATGTCTTTGTATTATTAGTGGTTGACCTAGTATTGTATGACATACAACTTCAAAAATAAACATTCATGAGCCACTGTTAAATTCTATATTGTCCGTCTGCGATTCTTTACGTAAACACTGCTAAAATAGTGAAGTTGACCGGAGTAGTGAGGGATTTCTTTCATCTTGCCGGGTAAAACTATCAAAATGCAATTTATCTTCATAATACTCACACTACTAGAAGATCTTTTAGATGCCAAAGCACGGCAAAGTCCCATTCTATGATGTACAGTGTAAATTTTCTGTACACATGTACCATTTTTGAGAAACATCGTCTGTACCATTTTCACAACAGTAACCCGGGTAGAGACCGCTGGCTTACGTATATTATCATGTTTTTTCACAAACACATACTTGTAGGTTTTGATAATTTCATTTCCACCAGTTCAAAATTTTATTAACGTTTTCTTAGAGTAAGTGATACATGGAAATTATATGAGAATTTATTTGTAATATCGGTATCGCGGTAATCATTGGCCCCCATGTTCCTTATGGTTGTTCACTCTCACATATTATGACTACTTTTTGTCTTTCATATGCCTATATGTATTCATTCTGATGAAAGACAAATTGTCATAATTTTTAACATTCTCACGTGCTACGTTAAGCAGGAGCAGGTCTAAAAACGATCAGTGTAATTTGTCGCTGGTAGAGTAGGCAATCAACATTTGTTGAATCTTAAAGCCGTATCACTAAAAACTCAGGCCTGCATAGTTAATCCTAGGAAATGGTGTAGAATTCTCATTAACTGTAAGTCGTATTATTATATAACTAGTGTGCCGGCGTCATTTAAAGCCTTGTTGTATAACAATTACATGGAAGGTTTTTATATGCAACGTTCTTATATGAAATTTCTTGCTATTTGATTCTTTCTGCCAAATTTCAAACAATTTCGATTCTACGCCTCACCCACACAGGCGTGCCAGCCTGTCCTTTCAGTTCGTCAACACGCATGCGCGACCCATCGCTGAGTAGGGAAAATGCCAATTTCTTATTGTATTTTATCTTTTAACTCCCCCCTCCAAAAAATATATACATATACAATTGCCATTGAAGATAATGTTTATAAATCGGGAATAAATAATCGCTTGCCTTTCTTTATGTGATTTATATTTATCTTTAAACTCTCAAAGGTGACAGTATGGTACTTTTTTCGGCAAAAATCGCCCGAAATTAAATTTTAGGTATTTCGAAAAAGTTTCAGGGCCTCTGAATCTCCTATGGAATATTTAAGGCCCATACGTTATTTTTAAGGTGGTAGCAGCCACTTTCGATGTCCACTGAAATATTATGATTTTTCACCTTGCCTTAGAAAATTGGCAATTGT